TCCATGTAAACGTAATCATTGAGAAAATGTATTTCTGTTCAGAATACTTCTTATATCTCTTTTTCCCCATTAATTTATTATGTATTTTTACACATTTTTATCTGTTTTATCTGTTTTTTTTAGCATTTTATTATTTATTTTATTTTCTTATACTTGTCTCTTTTATTCCTGTTTATGTAAAGCACTTTGAATTACCATATGAAATGTGCCATATAAATAAACTTGCCTTGCCTTGCCTTACTATCTTATAATTTATATAAATCTTCATTTTGAACAGCCATGACTCTTAAGGACTTTTTAATATTAATGGTTACTGTGTTAATATTTTTGTGCAAATCATCATTATTTTTGTTTGACATTCAAAAGATCTACATTAAATTTAATTTATGTAGCAATATAAAATGTTATATTAGGTATATAAATAGATATAATATAGGTCCATTTAATGCAACATTGCTTAATGAAAAAGGTTTAACTTTAAAAATATTCTTATTTAAGCATTTGATGTTTTATTAAATTTTATTTGTATTATCCAATGTAATGTATGTGTGTTTATAGCCCAAAGTAAAGCCTGCGGATCAAAGTTGGCCCATGGTAACCATTGATTTGGCCCACAATAACATCTGAGAATAGAGGGAGAATGATCAGGATGGTTAAGAGATTGTCATTTCAGATTTTATGTAAGTTTTATTTGTTTATTTTATTGTTAACCAATTTTTTCAATCAAAATGCTGTCATTTAGTTAAAATGTGCATACTGTTATCTGATAGATAGAGGACAGTGCAGAGACTTTGGTGAGCGAATCAAGGCAAAGGCAGATTCTGCATGACTAGTGGATTCAGCATTGAACTCCACTGTGTTATAAATGTGACTGTTGGTTTTTATTGCAATAAGTTATCATTTAAAAAGTTATACTGCAATCACTATCATTATTACATTTAGCTAATTTCTGCAGACAACAAAGACTTTAATGTCTGCAGAAATGAGCTCAATTTAATATTGACAGGACTCTGATAGTGCCATTTTAAAAGGCCTATATAGAATCCATTTGATCTTTTTCAATGATTTGTTGGTTTGCTACTTTAAAGCTAAATCAGAAGAACTTTTAAAGCTGAAGGTTTTAAAAACCTGCAGCAAAATATTAGGGCTAAAAGTGCCAGGGTGGCGAGGCAGTGGCGCAGTAGGTAGTGCTGTCACCTCACAGCAAGAAGGTCGCTGGTTCGAACCTCGGCTCAATTGGCGTTTCTGTGTGGAGTTTGCATGTTCTCCCTGCCTTCGCGTGGGTTTCCTCCGGGTGCTCCGGTTTCCCCCACAGTCCAAAGACATGCTGTACAGGTGAATTGGGTTGGCTAAATTGTCCGTAGTGTGTGTGTGTGAATGTGTGTGTGGATGTTTCCCAGAGATGGGTTGCAGCTGGAAGGGCATCCGCTGCGTAAAAACTTGCTAGATAAGTTGGCGGTTCATTCCGCTGTGGCGACCCCGGATTAATAAAGGGACTAAGCCGACAAGAAGTGCCAGGGTTATCCTATTTGTATGAAAGTTAGGTGGTAAAGAAAGACTATCAGATTCAGGCCCATAGCCAGCCTGGTGAACAGGGTGTTTTTTTTTCTAAAAAAGTGGACCTTTTTGCAGTTATACGCCTAATTTTCTATTTATTTCTCAAGTTTAAATACTGCATTTTAATGACATTTTAAGCACTTATTCTTGTTTAAATAGCTTGTTGGCTGGTCATCAGAGCCAACCTTTTTGATGTACCAAAACATTTCCTTAAAGATTTTGAAAAAACATACTTTAAAATACTAATTTATTACATTATCATTAAGAAACAAAATAGTATTAATTAATTTTTTTAATTAAAAACTTCAGCTTATTTTCTTTTATTAGACACAACATTTGAATAAAGAAATAAACAAACAAATAAATAATAATAATAATGTAGAGCTTCACATTTTTTTCTAGATTTTTCTCTTTGCTAAAAAAAGTTACATAAAAAATTAATGGATAACAATAGCCTGTACTATTAATAGTATTAAAATTAACTTTAATATGGGCCGCTTTGGTGCTTCACACCTTTTTATTGATCCTTTTTTGTTTCAGAAATAAGATCCAAGATTTAGAATAAAAGTTTTAAACAACAATTCAGTAGATCAGTAGTAAAAGACGACCTAACTTTCGTCCGATTGAATGTTTTCTTGCACAGATGTTGGAATTGTGTTATTTTCACAATTTATGATGGCATTGCAGTCAAAATAGGACAAATGAGCTCATGTATAGGACAAATTCTGGACCTTTGTCAGTGCAGGGTGGGTCTTTCTCAAGATAGGTGCTATTTTTTAGTGTAAGTAATGTTGTTTATTGTTTGTCTTATGTGTGTGGTGTGATATCTGTGTCGTAAATCTAGTATGCTGCTGAACAAAACTCCCCAAAGAGGGACTATAAAGTTTACAGTAGCTTACTGCATTAGTTAACATGACTTAAAGTGATGTTTTCTATGGATCTCTTAAATAAATTAGAAAAATTACCCATGGCAGCTTTATTGTAAAATAGTTTGGTATATTTATCTTCAGCCCACAGCTCTCAATGATTTTTGGCCCTTCATATAATAAAGTTTGGGCACCCCTGGTTTTTTATAGGTATAAAAAGTTGCGTTCTAAACAAACAGCATATATAATGTTTTGCGATTGAACTATGTAGTGTTATATCTGTGCTTATGAAATTAAAAGCCTTATTACCAATAATACAGTCCACTTTAATGACAAGTATGCGTCTATAGGTTGTTGTACATTCGATTTAGTCCCCATAAATCTTTTGACACCTGTTAACCTCAGTTGGTGTTTACAGATTGTATTGTATGTGTTTTGTCATGTGAGATGGTTTGAGGTGTTTTCTTTCTCATGTGTGTGTGTGTGTGTGGCTTCACGAGTTGCCTGCAGCGTAGCTATGGTGTCATTAACATTCCACGGCGGCACCGTTAACACTCCGCTACATGACGAGACAGCTCTGCCTGTACTTCTTTCTCTCTATATACCGGCTCCACTTTCTCTACAACCTCCCGAACACCCACCAACACAAACAAATACACACACACACACACACAACACAACTCTATTACTAAGAAACGTCTTTAGCTTCGTTCCATGTTGGGTGTCAATTCTGACTATCAATCTAGCCCTGTCACTTCTACAAACATGCCATTTTTCACGCCATGTTACCTGCCTCTTTTGACAGATGGAAGACAGGTACATTTGGGGTAATTATCTACTTGGGTTATGCGGTATGTTTTGGAAAGCGCTTGTTTTGCTGTGTTGTAGGATTTGGACCGTTGGTAGGTGTGCTGGTCTGGCTCTTGCTGTTTGCCTGGGGCGTTTTAGTGCAGTGTGTTTTGCTTCTGTGCCTCGAGGGCTCAGAAAAGGCAGTTTGTGTTGATTGTGCTTCCAGGGGACCCGCTCTGAGGTAATCAGTCTCTGTGCCTACATGTTGTGCAGTGTGAACCCTCTTGCCTCTGAGCCAAGAATGTACCAAGAATGACAAATATTGAAACCATGGAGCGCTGTCATTATGTTTAAATGTGAAGTGTTAACTGGTGTGTGTGTGTATATATATATAAATCTATATTCTGATTCAATCTCAATTTGTTGATCGATATCTCAGTTTGAGGTCACAAGCCGAGCCCTTGTGTTTCTCTTTTGCACTCTTGCAGACTTTGCAGAATCGCACTAGTTTCAAGTCAGCTTCCTCTGTATTGTGTTCTCATAGACCATTTTAATGTGGGCATGTCATTGGTCTATGAACATTTCCTGCTTATCAAACTATTTCATAATTGTAACATGAGGCAATTCAATCATAACAATGTTAAAACAATCACAATATTATCTTTGAATATGTGTTTTTTTTGGATTATCTAAAACAATAGAAGTTTAATATGTAAAGCAGGAAATACGTTGGGACCATTGTTTTTGTTTACATCGCTCAACATGGTCAATAGTGTATATGCACAGCTAGTGTTTCTTCTTATACCGATACACTTCCGGTGAACGGTTAATGCGTCTTTTATTTTCAATTTTATACACTGTAAAACCCAATAAGTTAAGGCAACTCAAACCATTTGAGAAAACCGATTGCAACAAACCACTTAAGTTCAAAGACTAATTCAAATGAGTACTGTGAACTTAATCCATTTAAGTGAACAAAGCAGTTTGAGCACAGTAAAGCTCAGTAAATGATGAGAGCTCAAACCAACCAAGTACTGTAAAACCCAAGTTAAGGCAACTCAAACTGTTTGAGGAAAATAATTGCAACAAACCATTTGAGTTAAACTTATTTATGAGTACTGTGAACTCACTTCATTTAAGTTAAAATTAATGAGGTCTTTAATTAACTCATTTTCTTCAACACTGAGTGTAAAACTCTTTTCAAATGAGTAGAGTTAACTTTCAGTCAATTTTGAGTTAACTACACTCGACACATTTGATAAAATTGACTGTTGGGTTTTACAGAGAATGGTTCCTTTTACAGCATCGATGTTGTAATATATTTAAAATACAATAAGTTGAATAGACTTGAGATTTCATTTAGTTGTTCAAGTGCAAACTGAGATGAAAACCCATTTACACGCACACACGCCTGTCAGGATCACCATTGAAACTCCATTGAAAATAATGGGGTGAAAGAAATATTCATATTTTAAAGACAGGTCGCGGGAAAGTTTAACTTAATGCAGCGTTTCTTGTACATTCTGAGACCCGCTTTATATCGTAAATCAATCAGGCAGCGAAGATCGTTGATTTTAAAGAAAACAGAACATATACGTGCCGTTTTTGTATTGCATACAGTTCAACAGAAAGTGCTTGACCCAGGTTACTGCAAAATTAAAAGTACATACTAATGCATATACCCAATACAGACTAGCTTTGAAAAGACACATTTTATGAAAGCAACTTGTTCACAAGGATGCAAAGTAAGAATTTATTTTAAAGTTACAAAATATTTAAGAAAGAATATTTTATTTTACATAATCTGTACAGAGATGACATCCGTTGAACTAAATGACAACAGCTAAGAAATAACTTTTATTAAATAGAAGACTGGAAAATTAAAGACAAGGAAAAGATTGTGTTTCATCGGTTTTCTGTACATGGCATACAAAAATTAGACAGAGCTATAAATGGAATCCATTATGTTGTACCCTGATTATTAGGCCTCTTGAGAAGGATCAACAATTATTTTACAAATATTGGAATGGCCTTGCCACCTTATTACAATAGCTAAAATATTGGCCTCTTTGGTACAATTAATTTTTTTTTTGTTGTTTACAAATATTCAGTTTTACTACAAAAATAACATTTTCAATGGCAGATTTATTTTTTTGTCTTTTAACTAATCCCGCAACTTTTCAGTGCAAACATCGTAACAATCATCCGCTTTGGAAAGCAAGCGAAAGATCACATTTCAAGTATTGATACAGAGTTAAAGACAAGCAGAAAGAAGATTTCAGTTTGTTTGACATTGTTCAGGATTACTATACATTGCATAGTTCGTGCGGCACTTTATATTAAAAGGACTATGGGCAAGGGTAGGTCCACCTCGTTGTACCCTTTTGAAGGCTTTGCAATATGCAAGTGCTTTAAATTGTGCATTTCGAGAGTTTTCGCAAGTGCTGTACTCCCTGTAAACCAGCTGGACAGAGTAAAAGAGGCTCTGTGGAACGCACATCGCTGCAAGCGTTTGTCAGCCACTGAAGTGTGCAGGTGAACTTTGCGCTGTACCGGTTAGACCTCAAGATCTTGTTATGCAGTCAGCCACAGTTAAGTTAAGTGGAACGATGGAAGTGGTTTTAGTTTCAAGATGATCTTGGCCAAAGGTGCTTGCAGTCTGGGTTGAAGCCTCACTATTTATTTGACAATAGCGCAGACAGCTGGAGTCATTGCTGTGGGAAAGCCTCTGAGAAGGACTGGGATGATGCGCACTGATTTAGAAATCTCTACATCAGCTGGAATGATTTGTCATATTGCCTTATATGAGCTGTTGGAAGTGCTGGTGTTCTGAAGTAGGAGGGACATTGAGATATGTCAGTGCTTGTACAACAGTCTCTAAGTACTCATGTCAAAGCATGACACCAGTTCGCTGTTAGAAAGTTTGAGCCATTTTTTTTAAGTCTAGAAATGGCAAACTAGAGTTCAACCATTTGGTGTTTCCTTTCCCTTATCATCCCTAGCCTTTATATCCACCTGTCTGATGATCTACTGCTTGATGCACACACACACACACACATACAGACGTGTGTGATTGTACTTTGTGAGTGCACAAATATTAACGCAATCTATATGCATGTGGTTCAGAAAGACCATAAATATGACTGTCACTGCTGTCCTAACATGGATTTTGTTCAGGCACAGCCGCACTCCTCCACGATCATGTTAGGCACGTCACGTTTGACGATGTTGTACTCGTCATCGAAGTAGAGCATTGACATGGTGCTGAGTTTAGTGGGTATGCAGCAGGAGTTAACAGATCCGGGACTCATGCCTCTCATGCGGTACTGGTTGACCACTGCTGTGTGAAATGACGAGGCAGAGCCTGGAACACCTGCCATATAAGCAGGGCAGCTGCCCTCACAGTAGTTCCCATAGTACCCTGCTGGCGCAATGATCCAGTCGTTCCACCCAATGAGCCGGAAGTCGATGTAAAACTGCTGTCGGCAGCACAAACCTCCGTTGTTGCCGTCACACTCCAAGCCTCGCTTTCGGATGCGGTGTTTTCCATCTGCCTGCTGTGCCCGGACTACCAGGAAGGGTCGGTGAGAGGGGTCACTTGGGTCCACCAAGATGGGCAGAACATTGGCGGCCTCGCAACCCTCGCAGTGGATGTCGAGGTCTTGTCGGCGACCTCCTTTAGCCAACATTTCCCGTATGGCCTCAGACACAGGGAAGGTGTGCCAGCCGCTACGTTTCAATTCAACACGTTTCTCCATCATGGGCCAGTGCACGTTCTGCCCACCAGGCTCATAGGAGTGCACCCTCACTGTCACCTTTCGCCGCAGGCCCTTCTCCAGAGTACCTGGCATCAGCTTAAAATACAGCCACAGATTTGCCTGCAACACGTAGAGGTTCTGATTCCCCTCGTTGGAGATCAGAAAGTAGAGGCTGGACTTGGATGGAGTTACATCATCTGTAAGAAACCAAAGATGTTTGTTAGTTCACAAATAATATTTCTTTCTTCCAAAATAGCCTTGTCTTTTCTCAGATTTAAAACAGCACAAACAATTCTGCTGACGACTACCTCTCCTCAGCCACATTCACTGACATAAACCACCCAACTTGTCTAGATAGACTTGTTGATGTCACAGTTCTGGGCCAAAGTCCAATTGGCCTCATGGTTTGGGCTGAAGATGTTGGGTCGGGTGCAAGAGTGGGGGGTGGTCTGTCAGACATGGGCCTTGCCCCAGGGGGTTCATTAAGTTCATAGGGAGCACTGTGAAAACCCAGAGCTACTGGAGCCTCTGAGACTGACAACACAATGCACTGTGAAAGGTATTAGACGACGCTGTGGCACAGCCTACCATTGAGCGTGTGCCCTTCAAACAAGATGCATGATGAGGTATTTACATTGCTTTGGCCACTAACTGTGTCTTGATTTGTGCCGTCCAAGTTTTTCCTTTTTAATTGTAAAGATTCTTTTGACCCGCTTAGATAATTAGAGAAATTCACTCTGTGCAGAAAGCTTCACATAAATCATGTTCTCTGTAATCCTGAATTGAATGCCAGAGCTGTTTAACATTGGCTCATTTTGAAATAGTAAAACGACCATGTTTGCCAACAGATTAGTTTGGTCTAATGTCAACAAGTTGCCACAATGGGTGGCTTCTTCATTTGACAGCCTGGCCTCACATACAGTAGCAGTGGCTTTCCTTGCTTTTCTGAATTGTTAAAAGCAATTATAGTCTTGAAAGCATGTATTCAGCCTTTAAGATGTAATAATAAACAAATTGTTGCAAATGTGCTTTGTAAAGAAGACATATTTTAATGAACAGAAATTAGTAGCCTAAAAATATATCGCCTTTTATTTACATGCATGCTAGCTGGTGAAGCTGATCCACCTGCGTAGCTTTTCGGGTTAAGCTGTTTGACCAAAAGAAATCTAGTTAAGCTAGTTGAGACACCTGGATGAGACCAGCATCTAAAAACACATGCTGATAACAAACAGTCATGTTTTTGTCAACAAGGCTGTCAAGACTAGTTTTGTAGGAACCCAACCCTTTATGTCCCACAGTGCAGAAACAGTCTGTGACACAGAATCAAGCCCTGAAGAAGTGTCGGGTGTGAACAAGTATGTCCTATGATGATAGGGAACATGTTCGCTGAACTGACTACTCCTTCGCTTCACCTTATTACCTTACTTTTTTATGCCCCCAGGATACAAATACACTTGTACGGCCATGTGCTCAAGTGGTTCAAAACCTGTCTCAACAGCTCCTGCTTAACGCGAATTGTCAACAGGTTAAGGCTTTGTCCAGTCTTCACTCTCCTGTGCAAATAGAGAGACAAGATGCTGTTGTGGCAGCATAACAAAACCCCATCTCTCTGCTCCATCAGAATTACTTCACAACCAACAAGTTTAAAATCGCTCTATATCCAAAACAAAACAACAACACAAATCCACACCACGTCCTAGGTATATTTTAACTGTCAAACAAGAGCAAGGGCAAGCAAACGTTTGAGTTCGTTTTGTTTCTGTTTCACTGAAGATTGCACTCATGCTTTAAATGCTTAATGCGAACTGCTTGTCGAAGATCAATAAGATCAAGACCATGGCATGCTGCCTGATTAGATTTTGACCGTCTGCCAATCAGATAGCGCTACAGCTCTAATTTCCTTGCTGGGATCAAATGTCAAAAAACAAAGATTTTCTAAAGAGATCAGTTTGGCTCTTTGACCTTATGGACACTGTGCCATGCTGAATAACGTCTAATAATGAAGTCTTAATACCCCACGTTGAACTGGACCTGAAGAGTTCAGCGAGTCCGAATGGTTACGGTGACAAATGAGAAGCGAGCATCTAGCGCTCCGCTCCTGTGGCTACGGGACACCAAATACTTCTGAAATGGCCCATAGGACAGTGTCAATAGAGCCCTGAAACTGGCAGCCATCCTCTCCTGTACCTTGGCAGCCCTCTTCTTATTGCTCTCCTAAAGCGTGGAGCGAGATCGGAGCCACCTTCTGGCTTGCAGTCATACCACATAACAGCAGGGTAGAGCATGCAACACGTGAGGCAACCCAATTGCCTGCAGCTGCAGTGATTTTACCATTGCATACCTCACACATTCCTCTTTTTGTACCTCTGAGCAGAATGGATCTAAGGTTGTCCTAATGCTATGCCCTGGCTGGCAGCCTTCACTTAAGGGGTTAGCGCCAGCTGGCCTTGAGGCAGATGGGGGTTCCGAGAGCCAGTTTCAAGATGCATTGCTGCTCGGTGGTTCAAAGGTGTCGTGAATAATAGGGGACACTGCAAAGAGGCCTGAGAGCTTTGATATTTGAAATGCATTTTCAGAGTAGGATATAAGAAGGCCATCCCCCCCACCCCTGCCTCTGTCACCCACAACGACTCAAATGTCTCATGCATTATTCTGAGTGATTTCTTTTGTTTTCTTTTGTTGTTTTTGTTCACAATGTTGACATATTGGGTTTAGCAAGAACGCACAGTACTCTCTCAATAATTGCCTTCTTTTGTTGCGCTGTCATGAGTGTGTTCAGATCCTTCTTATTGGAGCAAGAAGTTCGGATAATGTCCAAGCTAATTGTGCTGCACGGTGTGTGCGACAGGAAGATAAAGAAGCCAGTTTTACAAGCTTAAATGAGTGGTGTCAAACTGAGATATTGGAATGGTTATGATAAATGATTATAGTCTACATAAATTCTACTGTTATTCTTCTATTGATGTTAGTTTGCACATGCAAATTTTGTATTTGATCTAATAATGACATAAATTACATATATAATAAAGGTTAACTTTTTGACACTTAGCAGCAGAATGTAGCATACAAATTAGACCAAACCACAAATCTACAGCTGATAAACTGGCTCATAGAAAGAAATCCAATGCTTCATCACCTTGCCCTGGAACTAATGGGTAGTTGTGCTAGTTACAGGGTTTCCACCCTTGTTGACTAATGAATTTCCATGACTTGTTCAGGCATTCAGGGTTACTGCATAAGTATTTTTAAAATACTTACTACTTCAGTAAGAATGTATTGTAATAAATGTATGCTTCCTAAATAAAAGGTGTCTATTTTTATTACTTTTAACAAAAGTTTTTATGGCTATATTGTCTGTTAATAAGGCAAAAAGGCGTGAAACTGTTCTTGCCCTCTTATTAACAAATTATCTGTAATACTTTGATTGCCATGTTTTTGATGTTCTCTTGGCGTTCCCGTTCCTGGTCTAGTATTTTAATTGCCTCAACACCCACCTATCGCAGGTCATAATTTGACAGACTACTCATTATTTTCTGTCAGCATATCTATCTAATTGTATGTTTTGAGAGGGTCATGTATTCTAATTGCTCCGGTTACATCATAGAAGTTTTAGAAGATGAAGGATGCATGTCTCATTAACCCTCCAAAACTCACTGTAAAAAATCACAACACTTGTGTTGTAAAGCACTCCACTGTAATGTCATTTTAATTTGTTTACAGTAAGATTCTATACTGTAACGTCATGTAGCATAGCAACAACTTTTCCGTGGAAAAAGTGTACTTTTTTGGACTATTCCAAGCCAAGCTAAGTCAGCTGCCTTTGAGGTAGAATTGAAATGCATCATAATTAATATATCATAAAATATCATAGTTAATTGCTCTTTATGAGGGATAGATATACAGAGACCAACTGAATACTCTGTTTCTCTGGATTCACAAGATTTATTAGATCTGAGATCTGTATAAGATCTATGAACTTTTCCAAATTTCAAATAAAAATGTTGTCTTTTTAGAGCCTTATTTTCTGAAAATGATAATTGGTCAAAAAATTGTTTTGATTTAATAATATCTAATATCTAATAAAAATTAGCCCATTTGTGTGGTTTTGCTTTGAAGTGAATATACATGTCTGAATAATGCAATTGTGGCGTCCTTTTTGCTATTTTGAGCAACAAAAAAGTCTTTAAATGCTTATAATAGATTTGGAAGAAATTCTTCAGTCGTTTTCAGAATAAAACCAAAATGGCATTTTACTCAAACACAAAACAATATATTGTAAATACAGATAAATCAGTGAGTTATAATTACTTTTAGATGGTACCTCATACAAAGTCTATCACGTGTATATAGGTCCCATCTCTGTTAGGATGCTGTGTATGAAGGCATAGACGGGTTTTTGGAACAGACCCATGAGATGTCATGGCTTACTAAAGACCCACAACCAGGTCGCCATTTACTGACACCATTACTAATACTTTAAGGACAGATCATTTGACCTGTACTTTTAAATTGTATTATTTGCAAATGTGATAAATCCCGAAAACTTTAGTGGTTATTAGCCTCCACCCCTTAAAATATCCGCATGAATTCAAGATATTTAAATAATTAGATATGTTATAGATAAACGTTATATTATATAATTTGCAAGTGAATTAAACATTACAGATTGTCCCAAAATACGAGATGTGCTAAAATGTACGTTAATTATTATGTAACTAAAAAGGTATACACTCTGTCATGTAATAAGCTTTTCATACACACCTGATTCGGCAAAACTGATGATTTCCGACGTTTCTTCTTGCACCTCGTTGTGGGCAGCGTGTCCATCTAAGTTGGGGATCTCAACCCTGCCGTCCTCCCTAACTTTACCCGCGTGAAGTTTGCGCAGCGCCGTTACCATGGCGGCTTTGGGAATGGGATGAGTGATATTTGGTCTCTCTCTCATCTGCAGTCGGTTCAATATGTGCCTTTTAACCGCTTCCAGAAAGTCTGTGTCCATTCTCCCCGAATCTTCCTGATGCCCGAGTCCACAAGACACACACTGAGACTCCTGGGAGCCGGTCTCCGCTCCCAGACTACTACACTGAACCGAGAGCAGGCAAGCCATCAAACAGGTTACAGAGAGGATGGAAACGCTCATTTTCATAAATATCGTGTCCATACAACAAACAAATCAGTTCATGAACTCCTACAGTTAAAATAAACTATAAACAGGACTGAGTTGTACTTCCAGCAACCTCCTTTGACAGATGTCCGTTCATTATTAGGCTCGCGGTCATTTTTGTGAGACGTTCATAGAAAGAGTTCATAGTATCGTCCGGTAAACGCATTGATAATAGCGAAATCTTGTCGCGAAAATGTCAGTCCTCGAGTTAAAAAGCGCGAAAATGTCTCCTCATCATCAAGGTACAGGACTAACTGATGTGTGAAGAGTCAAAACAAACCGATTGCTATTCCTTTAAAATTCAGTGTGGTCAAAAACAAAATCTTGCTTGAAGAGAACGATTCACCGTTTGTCTGTCCACCGAATTCGAGTTGTTTCGTGCTCCTCTTCTTTTAGTAATGTAGTGTTGCGAGTTCTTGCGCGTTTCTTCAGCCTCAGGAGGGATGTTGTCCTTTGGTCTTTTCTCTCGTGTAATAATCACGACAATACAGCACCGCGCTGAAACTTTTTATACTTCAAACCACGTGGGACGCTCGACCAACTGGACGCCAGATATTATGAGCTCGAGCAGGTTAAAGAGCGCTCATGACCGCTGGATATCTCTGCGTGTGACACGTAACAGCATCGCACATCAACTTTTTTTTTCACTTGGAAAAGTAACGTTACAAGACTTTAGTGTTTGGCGTATAATGAGACAGAAATCCGCTTCTTTCGCACAACAGAACAATGCATTGAAGCACAATCTGTGTATCACTAGACTGACCTTTTAAGTCATTTTATGATGTGGTTATTACTATATGTTGTCATTATTTTAAGTTATAGTAATAAAAACGTATCGTTTGATGAAGATTATATTGTCACCCACATAGGAGTTACTGAAATATGTTTTCTAAATAATGCATAGCCTACGCGTTTTAAACTGCTGAAACATGTTTTAATACATTTTCTCAAGTGTGCATTTATTTTGTTTATCAATACAGCCGTTTATTTCTGTTTAATAGGGTTATGTATTGCTGATAGGAGAACTATAATGGTCATTTTTCTGTCGGTAATATAGCGCCATCTATTGTTTCATCGCTTTAACACAGTAAATAGAAAAGTTTTCTATACTGTACAAATAACTGCATATAAATATATTTACAGTTTGAATGCAAAAACCTTCTAAAATAAGCATTTTTCTCCGACTCCTGTGTGTAGGCTCAGTAATTGTACATAGTGCCAAATAAGTTTTCTTCATTACCTTAAAAGTGAAATAACTGACATAAAACATTAACTAAAATAAAAGAAAAAATTTTAGATGGCATTTAGAGGTTTTTACATTTGATTTCTTCATATACAGTTGAAGTCAGAATTATTAGCCCCCTGTATTATTAGCGCCCCTGTTTATTTTTTTCCTCAATTTCTGTTTAATGGAGGGAAGATTGTTTCAGCACATTCCTAAGCATAATAGTTTTAAAAACTTATTTCTAATAACAGATGTATTTTGTCTTTGTCATGATGACAGTAAATAATATTTTACTTGAAATTTTTCAAGACACTTCTATACAGCTTAAAGTGACATTTAAAAGCTTAACTAGGGTAATAAGGTGCACTAGGCAGGTTAGGGTAATTAGTCAAATTATTGTATGATGATGGTTTGTTCTGTAGACTATCCAAAAAAGAATTAGCTTAAAGGGGCTAATAATTTTGTCCCAAAAATGTTTTAAAAAAATTAATAACTACTTTTATTCTAGCCGAAATAAAACAAATAAGACTTTCTTCAGAAGAAAAAAATATTATCAGACATACTGTAAAAATGTCATTGCTCTGTTAAACATCATTTGGGAAATATTTAAAAAAGAAAATAAAAATCAAAAGGGGGCTAATAATTCTGACTTCAACTGTATATACAGTGTGTGTGTCTTTGTGTGTGTGTGTATATATAGACCATTTTGAGGGATGTAAAGAAAAACAATGGTCTCTATATATTTCCTGTTTTACATTTTTAATTTAATTGATATCCTCCACGAGAAAAAAAAGAGTCACATATCAATAAATAATGTTATGATAGCTGTTTTAACTTTAAATTATGGTTCCCTCTTGTTACAATTATATAGTTTAATAAAAAGCAGGAAATGCTTATGGGCCATCATTTTAAACTGTAGCCTATCAATTTTAATGTGATTTTGTATTCATTTTGAGTTTTTTTTTCTTATGTATTTTTATGGATTTTGAGTAGTTTATTTTTAAAATCTTTATACAAAATAATTATATATTTAAAAAAATATAAGTGGTATTTAAAAAAGTGTTATTTTATAATAACATAATTTATTTTTCATATAGAGCTTTTAAAAGTAGCATCTCAAGGAACTTTACAGACATAAAATGTGCAGCAGTAAAAGACACAAGGATGAATGCAAAAAAGTAATAATAAAAAATAAGTAAAAACACAAAAAAATAATAGTCATAGATTTTGTAATTATTAGAATGCTAAAATGTGTAAAATTGTGTTTAGGTATATTATCATGCTTACACTTTTTTATTTGAATCTTACCATATTATTTTATTAAATAATGTATTGTTTATAATAAATGCTTGAAATTTATTTGAAATGTGGGGCGTCATGGTAGAGCAGTGGATAGCACGATTTCCTCACAGCAAGAAGGTCTCTGGTCAGTTAGAGCCTCAGCTGGGTCAGTTGGCATTCCTGTGTAGAGTTTGCATGTTCTCCCTGTGTTCGTGTGGGTTTCCTCCGGGTGCTCCGGTTTCCCCCACAGTCCAAAGACATGCGCAAAGGTGAATTGAATAAGCTAAATTGGTCGTAGTGTATGAGTGTGAATGCAAGAGTGCATAGGTGTTTCCCAGTGTTGGGTTGCGGCTAGAAGGGCATCCGCTACGTAAAACATAAAACATGTGCTGGATAAGTTGGTGGTTCATTCCGCGGCACCAACCCCAGATTAATAAAGGGACTAAGTCGAAAAGGAAATGAATGAATAAATATTTGAAATGTGTGTGTGTGTGTGTGCCACATTTTCTATTAAATTATGAGGTTTAAATACTGCGTTTATCGTGACATTTTTAACACATTTTTTTTTTTGCTACATTAATTGTCATCATAACCACACTTTTTGATGTACCAAACACATTTCCTAAAGATTTAGAATAAAGAATTTTTATTCTATTTTTTAAAATACAAATCATTACATCATATATACATAATTATTACAATATATAGTTTTTTTTATAAGGAATCTGTTAAAGTTTAAAATTAAAAACTGTAGCCAGCTGTCATTTATTAGGCAAATAACAAACTGGCCAGCACCTCAGTCACTGTCCTCAGTCAGAATTTGGCCATTTTAATAATAAAAAAATTAAAACACAAATGTTGCATGTTTCCCCACACAGCTGGATATTGGACTGGTGAAAAATAATTGTTTGCATTGGTCAAAACTGATGAGCTGAAGCAATAGCCAACAGAGAAATCCCAAGCCTTCTTTAGTGGGTTATTTTCACATGTATGATGGCATAGTATGGCTCAATTGTATGTCTTTCGCGAAAACCCGAAGTCCCCCTGGCCACAGGCCCGAGGTTAGCCTACAGTTAGTCTCCCCTCAAATTAGTTGATATACTGATAGCAGTATTGATTAAAATACAGAGAAAATGTGTAGATTATCCAAAGTTTGTGAGATAGTTTGAAAAGCAACACAATACGATTTGGTGTAGTAGTTCCCTGCATTGTCAGAAGTCAACATAACTATATTGTTTTAAGTGACAATCTTTGTCGCCCTCAAGTGGTAATAAAAAACACTACATCCATATAGAAAAGTATGTCCAGGTTAAAAATTATCTATAAGAGCAGCTTACTTTTATTTTTATTAATTAAATTTGGAATTATTTTCACAGCCGAACCAATTGCAGTTATTTATTACAACATGTAATTTAATACAAACATGCTATCAATTTAGTACTCACGTTTTACATCCTGCTATTAGTTATATTTTAGAAATAATAAACATAACTATGCAATGTAGGTTTTTACCGATATGGGTTTTAAGTCAAATTAGCACTAGAACACATTTTTAATTGTTGCAAATGGATTACATATTTATTATGTAATTCATCACTTATTAAAGCATACTTTGAGTGCAGCCATCGTGAACTGATGTGAAGACAAGAAACATAATGTGCAAAGTGTGCATGGTGCTACTGTTCTGCCAGCATCAGTCATTCAATAAAAGCAGTGACAACACAGCAAATGACAAAATGGAACAATATTTAGATTGATGATTTCAGTCAGTGATAAAATGCAAATGATCAGTTTTGACTGATACATATAACTGAGACATATCAAAAAACAAATCACAAATAAAATGCAAATCTGTGTTTTTTTAGTAAGTGTGATTCACAGTTGAGTTATCTGATCCCAATATCTTATTTATAGCACCAGAGTATTTACTAGCCACATACATTTTTGTCTCTGTTGTTTAGGCATGGGCCGGTATACGTTTCTGACAATATGATAACCTTGCATGGAGTCATGGTATGACAGTATTGTAATTACCGCTCTAAAATAAGTTCTTTTTAAATGTCTGCATAAAACAAAAGCAACTTTTCCCCCTTTAAACACAGTATATTTTATTTCAGGAAACATTATAATATTTTGGAACAGTACACACGTCAGGCTAAATAGTTGAAATAAATAATTGACTTCTGCTGTCTATATAGTTTCAAAAACATAGATTTATTTACAAAACATAAAAATATATATTAAAAAAACCTTACATAAACCTTAGGAATAGTATAACAGAATATTTTAGGAGTTTTAAAACCTTGACTTTTTCAACTGCTGTAAATATCTGCAGGTTTTATGCCTTAAAAAGTCTTTAATTTGTCACTGAAATATTGTGTTGTAGGTCTCAAATCATTTTAAATTGGTTTTAATTTTACTTTGTCTTTGTGAAGCTACACAACCGGACAAACACCAAATCAAATATTCAACAATAAATCTCAGTAAAGCAATTAACAAAACTCTATTTATAACTCAATTGACCAAATATGGTTTAATTATCGTTTTTATAGTAACATTTGTTTTAAAGTGTGATTGTACATCATATATGTTGAGGACACTGACTTGGGCAGATGTTTAAGGGTTTAGTTTCTTATAGATTATAAAGCTTGTCAATTTTGAAAAAAAGGAACGTTATGTTGGGGGAAAAAAGTGTATGGATACATATAGAGTTTGCTTGTTTTGACATATTATTTAAAATAAGTGGCTAAGCAATAACTAAAATTTATTTATTTATTTATTTTGATGAGGCAGGTATTAATATTTCTATTGGCTATTAGAAAAAAAAAACATCATTTAGCTCTGTATAAGTCTGAAATTTTATTCATAATGGTCTTAAAGGGCACCTATTATGTCCCTTTTTACATTTTGTCTGCATTTAAAATAAGAGTGTGTATGTGAAGTTTCAGCTCAAAATACCTCACACATAATGTGACTCTTTGAACTCTTTGAAACTCCCTCTTTTAGGATTTGGTCTTAAATGTGCTGTTTTGATGCCTGTCGCTTTAAATTCAAATGAGATTGTGCTCTTTTCAAAAGACGGTGGAGCAACAAATGCCTGTAAATCACCCAAGCGTCATCCCGCTCTCCTTCGTGAAGCTAATACGAAAGTAACTGAAACTGCAATTCATCAAAATTCTGCTAGGCCTGGCTCCATAATAGAGCACATTTCTATTGACCCAAATGTTAACATGGCCAACATTACAGCAGAAAAAAGGGTGTTTACAGCCTGTTACACAGAAAGATTTTGGTTTACAGTATATAGCTAATATTACACTTCATGACAGCCTTTTGGGATTATTTCCTACAATTATCAGATCATTTGCATGCTGTGTGAAATTAATTGTCCTCAAAAACCATTCAAGTGGCCTCCATTTCCCAGGTGAGTGAAATTATTCTATACTTATATACCATCTCTATAAATGGGTTTGTTTTATTTAAGATCATTTATCATTTATAATTTCCTTTAGAGCTGTAATGCACTCCAGAATCTGACAGATAGATTAGCTGTAGGCTGCAGAGCAGTCATCTGTAATGTTGTCATACAGTGTTAATCCTGAATTTCATCAATAGCCTTGCATATACTAACACAGACTATATTTGAAGTGTGTTTGGAAGTAATTCGCATTTTCCTCCTGTTGAAAAACATCATAAGTACAATGTTTAGTGGCTAAAACAGTGTTTTTAAATGCCTAAACACTTTATTAATATGGTACACAACCAAGCACTTGTGGTCAGAACACAAACAAGTTGCAGGTAATGAAGCATTAAGCGTTTCTCCCAAAGAAAAGCCTGTCTAAGAAAAATGCTAGCAGGCGTCTGTAGCTCCGCCTCCGCTCCTTTTATTGGTTACGTGAACAAAATGGTTGTTGGCCACGCCCACTACTAGCTTCATTTACACTCTTCAGAAACCCACGGGTGATGTCACTGATACCATACTTTTTACAGTCTATGGCATCAACAAAGCAGCCGTTTCAAAACAAGACTAACATCCTATGCTAAATAGGGAGAGATCATCAGTAATGGGCGGGGCTTTCCTCCTCTGACGACATACAATGGAAGAATGTCAATCAAAGTGTTTCTGCAGCTTGTTTTTATGAAGTGTCATTATAAAAATATTAATATTATTAATACATTTTTACCATTAAAAGCTGGTTATATTCACAAACTGTTGCAACACAACTGTGTTTAAACCCCTTATAAAAGTCATTTTTGCATAATAGGTTTTAAGTGAAGTTTTTTTATAAACTAATTTCGAGAGGATCACATGCTTATGATTGCTTGCAGCTGGTCTCGCATGATTTAATTTCAAGAGTTCACACTTAGCTGATGATTGATAGTAAAGCTAGTTTGGCGTGCTGTCCCGGGAGAGAGCCCTGAGCTTATAAGATCCTCGAGCCCTGGGCTCCCTCCCGTTGCAAGGCGAGAGGGGAGTTTGAGCTCAGGCAGATCTCGATGACTCTCCCTCTTGCTTGTTGTAGCTAAGTGTCAGATATGTATACTGAAAGGTGTACTCAGAGTTTAGCTAATGTATTTTGATTAATTGTTTAGAGTGCTTGTTTTTGAACTGTGGGAGGAAACCGGAGGACCCGGGGAAAACCCACGCGACCATGGGGAGAACAAGCAAACTCCGCACAGAAATGCCGTCTGGTTTGGAAAGGAATTAAACCAGGGGCATTATTCCTGTGAGGCAGCAGCGCTAATCGCTGGCCACCGTGACGCCCGCTTGAAAGGAGGGCAAGTAGGGTTGGGTGGGGGGGTTTCTTCAAGACGAAGATATTGAGATGAGAAAAGTCTGGTTATTTATAGTGAGTTAAGGATCGTCTGATAGGATAATCAGTCATTGGCTAAAGTTGGAACAGCTGTGAACAATCATAAGCATGTGATACTCTCGAAATTTGTTTATGAATAAACTTCACCTATGATTCACCAATCAGACGATTCCTAAGTGACTATAAATACTCTAAGTTCCATATAACAGCCATCATTGTTTTGAAGAATCCCCCCTTCCAGCCCTTCTCCTTCTCCTTTCCTAGATGAGTGGCACGCTGGCCCAGTGGTTAGCACTGTTGCCTCACAGCAAGAACATCACTGGTTCTAGTCCTTACCAAGCCAGCCAACATTTCTGTGCAGAGTTTACACGTTCTCCCCGTGCTTATGTGGGTTTCCCCCAGGTTCTCCGGTTTCCTCCCACGTCCAAAAACATGCAACTTAAGTTAACTGACTAACCCAAATCAGCACCATAGAAATGCTCCTAGTAAGTAGTTATCTCTTAAGAGCAAACACAATCTGTTTATTAGCTACTACAGCAGGGGAGATCTACCTGAGCTCAAACTCCCCCCTCAAATGGGAGGGAGCCCCAGGTTCGAGGATCATATGAGCTCAGGGCTCTCTCCCGAGACAGAATGCCAAACAAACTTTATAATCAATCATTAGCTAAGGGCATGCAAAATAACAAATTTCACCTTCACAGTATGTAAACGATTTCTTGAAAGTCTAAATTTCCCCACAGGATTGACCTACTATTGCTTTTTTTTCTCACAGAGAAAGCAAAAGAACATGGTAATTTACGCCACGGTCATATGCCACACTGAAATCCCCTGCTGTCCCTGCAGAGGTTTGCCACCCAGAACCAACATCAAGTCCGGCATGTGGAGGAACATCTCATCCTCGCTTTCCTCCGCCAGCTCACAACTTTTCCTCTTCTCACCAACAGCCTCCTGATTCTCAAAGGTGAGACAGCTGCCTTTTAGTTTAGAGTCTTTCAGTGTGATGCTAAAATCTGCTAAATACTTCTTACTCTCCTTGTGGAACGTCTGGAGCTCAATGCATGGCTCCTGTAAAGTGGTCCGGGAAGGTTGGCACTTGTTCTTGAAGGGTCTTAGCTTGTTCTTGATGTTGTGAGAGTTGGGTATTTCCCTGTAATAGATGCTAGTCTGTGTTGTTGGCTGGAAACTCTGCCCTAAGCCAACACTGCAGTGATGGATCCGGTACACAGAGGCTGATCCAGGCAGCAATGGCAGCTTCTTCCAGGTTTGGGTTTCCAGGTTGAACTTCCACAAACTGTTCTGAGGGGAACTCTGGGTTTCACCTCCTCCAAATATCAGTATGCTGTCCTTAAACAGTACAGCTGAGTGACCAACCAGCCTGGACGGACCTGAACTGCAGGGTATGAAGGAATAATAGCTGTATTAGAGAGTGTTTTCAGATCTGTAGATTGTTTTAAAAAGAGACATAAAGGTATAGTTTACCTAACAATGAGAGTGTTGTCAACATTTACCACTTAACCAGATTTTTTTTTATTTTGTTGAACAAAAAAAGTTGATATATTGAAGAATGATAAAACCTGTATCTATTGACTTGCATAGTATTGTTTCCTACTATGGATGTCAATGGTTAGTGGTCTCAAACATTTTTCAAAATATCTTATTTTATAATAGACAGAATAATAAACCTAAACTGGTTTGGACCGAAAAAAAGGGTGGGTAAATGCTGACAGAATTGTCATTTTTTGGGGAACTATCCCAAACTGGATTCCTGGAGGGCCGCAGCTCTGTGCAGTTTTGCTCCATTTCTAATCAAACACAGCTGATTCCACTAATGAAGGTCTTCAAAACTGCTAGAGACTATTAAGCAGGTGTGAGTTGGAGGTGGTTGGAGCTAAACTATGCAGAGCTGCGGCCCTTCAGGAATTGAGTTTGAGATCATTGCTTTAAGGCAATGATATACTCACAATTACATTTTTTGAAGTTGTAAAAAATAAGTTTGCAATACTGCAGCATACAGTTAGTGAATATCCCAGGGCCGCATATGTTATTTATAGTATGTATGTTTTGCATGAAGTAAATCAAGGTTGAACATTGGTTAATATTGTTTGCTTTCACTATGCATCATTTCAAAGTGGTCTAAAATGTTTTTGCAGTTTACATATGAAGAGGCAGGGGTTTTTAAGTCTTTTAAATGGAATCAATCTCAAAATATGATCATCCTTATGCAAGGGGCGCCCATACTTTCCAAAAAGTAAAAGCAATCTATGAAGGCTTTTATATAAACACTCCATTTACACAGTATAAAAGTTCATATTTATTTTTATTATTTGAATAAATGATAAAAACACACTTTTATAATAATTAATCATATTACATGGGTCTAATACATATATTAATTTGAAAATGGTTATAATTTTATGTGACAGAGATTTATATGACTGTGATTTTAATAATAAAAAACTGAAACTGAGTAAATTTCCTTAATGTATACAGTGAATTACTATAATTTGACTTTCCAAGAATTCCATGCGTGTCACTTTAATGTTTTCTTTTTTTTTGTACAATACTACACAGTTTTAGTGTTTTTTTTCTTATCAGTGATTTACATTAGAGTTTTGTACCTGTAATCCACATCTAATGTTGATAAATACTGTTAATTAATTATTTTTTCTTTCTTTTTTCCTCAGATAATTCAGCCTGTTGTAAAGCCAACACACATGGACTTATATTTTCATTCTTTCTTGTCTTTAATAAAAACAAATGCATTAAAATATGTACTTACAAAATTAGTCCACAGAATTAGGCCATTAAGATTAAGAAGCAGTAAATCGTGGCATAGGCAGTATAGGCAAATGCGATGAAGGGCGCAGTACATCCAGGGGGGCGCCAGAAATGGGGGAAGAAAAAAGTGTAACTTCCACTATTCTAAAAACTAGTTGGTATTAAGACTTCAGAAAAGAATAAGCTCACATTCATTTAACTTTGACTAAGACTAATAATTAGACTCTACCTGCAACACAGAGTTAGTTTTTTTTGATGGGTCAACAAGCTTAACATGTTAAAACGTCCCAAACTGTCTGGTGCACAGGGGAGGAAAAAATTAAAGGAAGAGGAGGAAAAATGTGAGAAGAACAGAGGTAATGTTCCGATAAAGATGAATATTTTGATTATTTTGCTGAAGGATGATTGATAACACCATTAACAATTAGCATGACACATGCCTGTCAACCCGATTCTCCTGTATTCTACCATTCTATCCCGCTATTATCCCGTTTAAGAATTTAAATGGACTAATATTAAGCCAATATTGCTGCATGACTGACTTGAAGCTATTAACTTCTCAAACTTGGGCCAATCTCATGATTATTCCTTCCCCACACAGTAGCCCACAATTAAAACTGAAAATGGACTAAAATGTGGAAGTATTTTCAGTTTTTTGTAGTGGCGAGTGATCAACTTCCTATCACAGTCTAACTTCTTAAAGTCAGCCATTGTTATACCAAAATTTAGAGCTTTGTTCATTAATGGATGACCCTCCTGTTATTTCTACACCAATTTTTGCGATCAGCAGAAGATGATCTATGACTGATTGAAGGATAGATAGAATGTTGTTCAAGAAACTCACTGGAATTTGATGCAGCTCCAAGTTTGACTGGCAGAACTCCAGCTCCACAGGTCCTTCTGTTCTCTCAAGCCCTGCAAGCCACCGTAGAGGTACATCCATTCCCCGTGTGTCACAGCTGAGTGACTGTGTCTGGGACCAGGCCCAACTTGTGCACTGCTTCGTAGAGACCACAGCCTGGATTCTACAGTAAGATGTAGAAAATATTTTTTTTTAGAAGAGTCGCCCGACTGTGTGTAAATTATAGAAATTACAGTGGAGATCAAAATTAGAGAACGATCTACAGTTTCCAAAATGTTGAGGTCTAAATTTTAAATTATCCTAACAAGAGTAAAATAGCATATTCAAGTCATAATTCAAAGTTTCGATCAATTCAATTAGCAATTGGTTAAATCTTGCAACCGGAATTGCTCACCAGTTTAATAGCTGTTTCCATCCAAATATGTGAATTGGATTTATGCACAAAACTGGAATATTGCAAAAAATATATGCAAAGAAAGCACTGTTTTTATCAATGAGTCAAAGAGAATAGTTACTTCCTGATAAACAGTAGCCAAATATCAAAAAGAAAAATGCTTAGTAAGAGAAGGTAGGCCTTTTTCTTATATGATAAATTATTTGCACCTCATAAGATAAAATTCAATGATTGTGCGATGTCTTTTAGATCGGTTAGATCGCTCTTTGGGAGCACAACCGCTTAAGTCAGTTCTGAAAGGTAATATTACCAAACCACTGTGATGACAGACATTGGCTGAGGGATTTTAGAATGACCGAAACAACATTTCAGATGTTGTGCAATGCAGTGTTGTCACCAAATTGAAATTTTGCTACCATTCAGTATTGAAGTTTTTAAAACGTTCCCTTGTGTGCATTCTTAAACACTGCTGATAGGCCATTGTGATTACATGCTCAATAGAAATGACTGTGGTTGGCTGTGAAGGTCACCGTTTCACCATTATTCACCAAGCGCAAACACAGATACAGGGATACTGGAGGGTTTCAAATTCGTGTTGATCAGCTGGTCTGTTTATGAGCTGACATGCGAGCGATCCGCTGATGAAACGCCTCTTTTACACATGAAAAGCCTTTTTTACACATGCAGACCTTTCTGAAAATTACCGGCAATTTTCCGGAAAGGTCTGTATGTGTTAACGGGCCCGTTTTGAAAATACCGGTAAATTCGTTCTGGCATTTTTCCGGAAAGAGAGTTGAAACATTAACGGTAATGCTGTGCTGTGTAAATACAAAGGGAAGATTGCCGGAAAGAGCGTGTTCATGTCTAGAATGCGCTGACGTGAGACGTCTACTTCAGCCAACCAGAACACTCAGATGCATTTACATCCGCACAGTTTATGAAAATAAAAGCCTTTGAATATTTTTCCAGACACATTTAGCTGGTAATTAATTGGTAATTTAGTCAAGTGTGTAAACATTGAGCTGCTGCAGTTTGCATTTCCACCTTTAGATGTCTCACAAAACAGCTGCATGAAGCAAAGCCATTTAGAGCTCATTTCTGGTTAATGATGCCAGATTTTACTGGTATTTTGGAATGGATGTGTGAATGGTCTTTTCCGGAAAAATTATGTAACGTCCCTGCCTGTGTGAACACCACCTTTTTTATAAATTTACCGGTAAAGTCATGACATTTTCTGGATATTTACCAGTATCACTGTGTGAAAGGGGCTAATGACCAATCAGCGCTGTTTAAGAACATACTCAATAGTGCTCAAATGTTGGCGAGAAATTGATGTTTTGTTTTTTTATTTCAGTACCGAATAGTACCAAATTCCAGTATCGTGACACTGGTGCAGTGTGGTCAATCCGCTGGTTTGTCCATTAATGGCTTCTCATTTCGTATACTACATGATCTGTTAAACAAAATCACATAACTTTTTAGATGCACATGCTGGATTTTACTTGGTAATATGTGCCAATATTCCAAAACCTACTTAAAAATATGGTCGTGTAAACATAGTGTAAGGATCTAAGTTTAATAGAATTTGTACTGACACTCCACTGACAAACCTCTCATCAGCAGAAAAATCGAACGACTAGACTAAAGGCTGATTTATTCTTCTGCATCAAGCATACGTGTACGGTCCGGTGCAGCTTGCACGCGTTCACATGGCCCTCACCGTGGCTCTCTCAAAAAACACATCGCAACGACGTATAGTGCAATCTCTCTGATTGGTCAGCTTGGTAGTGGTGAAGAGCATGAGTGGTACTGAGACTCGCAAGCCTGATGGAGCAAGTGTTTACTAGTGTCGAGTCACAAGAAGTAGCTCCAGATGGAGACTTTAGTTCTGTGTTTACCTTATGATTAAAGTTGTTGCATATCCGCCGGTTCCTGCCACTGAATGAGCGAGTTTTAGCTACTTGTAGCGTTAAAAAAAAACTAAATACCAGCGAAAAAAGAGGAACATGAAAACCTACTGTCAGCTAGCGTTTTTTAAGTGTTATTGCAGAGCAACACAAACAGCAAACAGAAGAATAGATGCATGACTACGTGCCAGGTACGTGCCGTGGGTCAAGCCGATTACTCAACGCAGTAACTGTCAATGCAGAGAACTGACCAAAAGTTCATCTAACTGGGGAAATAGTGAGCCCAAAATGTGTGCAGAAGTCAGTAGAGGTGAAGGGGGAAGTGTGAAGGTCTGATATTGTCTGCAGCAGAAGTGGGGTTTTTACATGGCAGAGTGAATGCAAATGTTTATCATAAGCTCTTTCAACAACATGTGGTTCCTTCCCTGAATTCACCACCCATTCATGCAGTACAATGAGCCCTGTCACACATCACACAGTAATGAGTAAAGGAGTTCCTTTAAACTGAAAACACTGCAATAATGAAATAAAGAAAATGAAAGCCCAGAAAATATTTGGCAATTCTTTTTGCGACAATGTTACGGCTGAGAGAGAAATGAGAGTCACTGAACTGTGAAGAGACAGAAGAAGAGCTAATCAAGATCACAGCAGAGCAGTGTGAGAGACTAGCGATGCCTGTGAGAGACTAGCGATGTCCTGCGACCTATAAGAGACTAGGGATGCCTGTGAGAGACTAGCAATGTCTGTAAGAGACTAGCAATGTTTGTGTGAGAGACTAGCAATGTCTGTGAGAAACTAGTTATGTCCTGTGAGAGACTAGCAATATCCTGTAAGAGACTAACAATGTCTGTGAGAGACTAGCGATGTCTGTGAGAAACTAGTGATGTCCTGTGAGAGACTAACAATGTCTGTGAGAGACTAGCAATTTCCTGTGATAGACTAACATTGTCTGTGAGAGACTAGCGATGTCTTTGAGAGAATAGCAATGTCTGTGAGAGACTAGCAATGTCTGTGAGAGACTAGCAATTTCCTGTGATAGACTAACATTGTCTGTGAGAGACTAGCGATGTCTTTGAGAGAATAGCAATGTCTGTGAGAGACTAGCAATTTCCTGTGATAGACTAACAATGTCTGTGAGAGACTAGCGATGTCCTGTGATAGACTAACAATGTCTGTGAGAGACTAGCGATGTCTGTGAGAAACTAGTGATGTCCTGTGAGAGACTAACAATGTCTGTGAGAGACTAGCAATTTCCTGTGATAGACTAACATTGTCTGTGAGAGACTAGCGATGTCTTTGAGAGAATAGCAATGTCTGTGAGAGACTAGCAATGTCTGTGAGAGACTAGCAATTTCCTGTGATAGACTAACATTGTCTGTGAGAGACTAGCGATGTCTTTGAGAGAATAGCAATGTCTGTGAGAGACTAGCAATTTCCTGTGATAGACTAACAATGTCTGTGAGAGACTAGCGATGTCCTGTGATAGACTAACAATGTCTGTGAGAGACTAGCGATGTCCTGTGATAGACTAACAATGTCTGTGAGAGACTAGCGATGTCTGTGAGAAACTAGTGATGTCCTGTGAGAGACTAACAATGTCTGTGAGAGACTAGCAATTTCCTGTGATAGACTAACATTGTCTGTGAGAGACTAGCGATGTCTTTGAGAGAATAGCAATGTCTGTGAGAGACTAGCAATGTCTGTGAGAGACTAGCAATTTCCTGTGATAGACTAACATTGTCTGTGAGAGACTAGCGATGTCTTTGAGAGAATAGCAATGTCTGTGAGAGACTAGCAATTTCCTGTGATAGACTAACAATGTCTGTGAGAGACTAGCGATGTCCTGTGATAGACTAACAATGTCTGTGAGAGACTAGCGATGTCCTGTGATAGACTAACAATGTCTGTGAGAGACTAGCGATGTCTGTGAGAAACTAGTGATGTCCTGTGAGAGACTAACAATGTCTGTGAGAGACTAGCGATGTCCTGTGATAGACTAACAATGTCTGTAAGAGACTAGCGATGTCTTTGAGAGACTAGCGATGTCCTGTGATAGAATTACAATGTCTGTGAGAGACTAGCGATGTCTTTGAGAGACTAGCGATGTCCTGTGATAGACTTACAATGTCTGTGAGAGACTAGCGATGTCTTTGAGAGACTAGCGATGTCCTGTGATAGACTTACAATGTCTGTGAGAGACTAGCGATGTCTTTAAGAGACTAGCGATGTCCTGTGAAAGACTAACAATGCATGTGAGAGACTAGCCATGTCCTGTGAAATACTAGCAATGTCTGTGAGAGACTAGCAATTTCCTGTGAGAGACTAACAATGCATGTGAGAGACTAGCCATGTCCTGTGAAATACTAGCAATGTCTGTGAGAGACTAGCGGTGTCCTGTGAGAGACTAGTGATGTCCTGTGAGAGACTAGTGATGTCCTGTGAGAGACTAGCAATGTCTGTGTGAGACTAGCCATGTCTTTGAGAGACTAGCCATGTCTGTGAGAGACTAGCCATGTCTTTGAGAGACTAGCCATGTCTGTAAGAGACTAGCCATGTATTTGAGAGACTAGCCATGTCTGTGAGAGACTAGCCATGTATTTAAAAGACTAGCCATGTCTGTGAGAGACTAGCAATGTTTGCGCAACTAAAATTTCGAACTAAAATTCCTAATCCTGAACTATGAAGATTTTATTAAACCAGGTATTTACAAACTCTTCTCTACTTTTGAATGTTATACAGTGTGCATGTAAGTAAATGTTGAATATTTGGATTTGTTTGCTTACAAAACAGCATAATAATGATAGTGAGATAAATAAGATAATACTTACCAAAATCAAATTTCCAAAATTCCTTTGTCGATCCTTTTATATCAATGTATCCACCATAGATGTACATCGATGACCCCAAGATGACTGCACTGTGACCTTTTCTGTTCCCCGGTGTCACTCCCTACAAAAACAGTTTGCTGTATCACACAAGATCATTGATGTTACAGCTGTAACTCTTTGTAAAAAATCTGTTTACCTGTAGGGCCACACTGGCAGCTTTCCAGTTAATCCAGCACTCTTTACCTGCAAAGAAAATAAAACTGAAGAGGTAAAAACAGCAATAATCATACATACATACAGCTAAAGTATTACTATTACTAAAGCATAAGGGGACAAAAATACATACAAATTCAGATTTTTTTTAAATACAAGCTCATTTCTTTTTTCTGAAGACGTTTTAAAGAATGTTGGCACCCGGTAGACACTGACATTCATAACCATAGTTTGTAAAAATAATATGGAAGTCAATGGGTATCGGTTTCCAAATTCTTCAAAGTATCTGTAACCATCACCACCAATCTAGGGATCTAGGGACTGTAGTTCGCTGGTGAACTACACACACACACACCAAAATAACTATTACTACCAGAATGCTTTGCACCTATCTCCCCTGCTTCAGCTAATGGTCATTTGGACACACACACACAGCTGTGAGTCATTCCCACTCATTACCAGGACTATATATTTCAGTTTGTGTTTCCTTCTCATCTCATCTCTCGTTTTTTTTTTTTCGTTTTTATTTGCTGTATATATGGTCCATGTAGTCCATGTAATCAGTATTTGAGCAGCTCCCAGCTGTGTGTGTGTAATCAAAGAACTGGAACAGTTGAGTATTTGGTGCATTGCAGGATTTGTAGTGCCTTTGGTGGCAGATTTGTAGTTCTCCAGCGATCTGTATGCACTAGATCAGATAGACTAGTGATTGTGACAGTATCTTCTTTTGTGTTCAATGAAAAATAACGGGTGTGGATGAAGTTGGTAAATAATGACATAATATACATTTTTAGGTGAACTTTGTGATATGAAATGAAGTAAAAAAGACTTTTATGTTTAAATATGGATTTAATAAAAAACAAATACCTGTATCAAACACCCAAAGAGGTGTTTTTGAGTTAGAATATGATGAATCTCTCAATCCTCCAAAGACATATAAAAATCCCTAAGAAAAAAATAAGAAATTCGGTTACGGCACTTATTTACAATATGGTTATATAACACTGATAAATATCTATTCTGTGATTAGGTAGATACTACAGAACATCAGTGTACTTTCAACAATAATTAACTTATTTCAGGCAAGAACAAAGACAATCAAATGTAAATACTACATTATTGCTCAATTCAAGCTTGGATAAATAAAACCTTGAAAAAGTTCATTAGTTATTGTTTGTTTACAACAGTTCTCTGAGGAAACATCAACTAAAGAAAATATTTGATATTCCTGTTCCCATCATGCACTGGGAAACACTGGGCAAGCAATTTTTCCAGTTTAACAGTTACACTGACCGGTCACTTTATTAGGTACACCTGTCCAACGGCTTTTTAACGCAAACTTCTAATCAGCCAATCACATGGCAGCAACTCAATGCATTTAGGCATATAGACATGGTCATGTGGATCTGCTGCTGTTCAAACCGAGCATCAAATAAAGAGAAAATATTCTGTGAGCGGTAGTTCTGTGGGCGCTAATGCTTTGTTGTTGCCAGTGGTCAGAGAAGAATGGCCGATAAGTTTGAGCTGATAGAAAGAAACAGTAATTGAAATAACCACTCGTTACAACTGAGGTATGCAGAAGAGCATCTCTGAACGCACAACACGTTGAATCTTGAGGCGTAAACCTTAAAGACCACACCGGGTGCCACCCCTGTCAGCTAAAAAAAAGAAACTGAGGCTACAATTCGCACAGGCTCACTGAAATTCCAATTTAGAGCACCTTTGGGTGATTTGGTGGGTGAAACTGGAGATTTGCAGCCAACAAATCTGCAGCAACTGTATGATACTATCATGTCAATATGGACCAAAATCTCAGAGGAATATTTCCAGTACCTTGTTAAATCTATGCCACAAAAGATTAAGGCATTTCTGAAGGCAAAAGGGGGTCCAACCCGGTTTTAGAAAGGTGTACCTAATAAAGTGGCCAGTAAGTGTTTATTTACACTGTTGTATAGTTTATTTTGCTGTTGATGTAGTAACTTCTATTTTATGACATCTAAGCTTTTTATACTCAAAATGGCAAATTCAAATAGAATACTAATTGAACTGTTACAGTCGTGTATTGTGCATCAAGTATTGAATTCACTGTTCGGTTAGGTGTACCCCATTATCTCAATTTTTGTCCGTATGTTGTCATATTCCAACAAGACATGCTGTGTTATTTACTTAAATGTTTTAGATAAAGAATACATTTCAATAGAAAATTATTATTTATGTAAAATTTACAAACAAAGGGAGTAAAATGTACTTGAAAGTATTACAAAGAAAACGTCAAATGATTAAGTAATAATTACTTGACAAACAATGTTAATGTACTTAGTTAAGCAAACTTGGTTAAGCAAATTACACAAAGTAAATTTTATTTTTTTTTTCCATGTAGAGGATATGATAAGGATATATGAATATAGAAATCTATGTAATTGTGATAAATTGTTAGTCTGAAATGTCATATTGTTCATGCTGTGACTTTCAATTACCTGGTGTGCTACCATGGTGTGCTCTTCCACTTCTTCAGGTGCTTCTTCGCTATCACAGGGAAGCTCAACCCAGTCGTTACAGACTAAAAATACGGAAATCCTCTTAAATTCAAATTATCTAATTCTTTAGAATCCATATACTGTGTAATAACAAGCACAGGCGTCAAATGCCTGAGATAACTAGCAATGACTTACCCACATTGTATTTCCAGAAATCTCTCAGTGAGCATTTTTCTCTGCCACCTAGCAAGTAAACATGTCCTCTGTGGGCACAAGAAGCATGCTTGTAACGATCACATGGTGCAGGGCATTGCTGAGGCACTGGAGTCCACAAGCAAGCACCGCTCCCCTGGTTCATGCTTGGGCTCCGAGAGTCTCATGGGTTAATCTCTGCGAAGAAAAGCACAAAATGCACAGGGAATACTCATGAAGTCAGGTTAAGTACTTCCGTGAATGGTCGGACAACAATATTGCAAAGAAAGGAATTTTTATTACGGTGTCAGGTGAGGCATTAGGTAAGTGTTGAGCAAATATTTGACAAGAAAACACTTATGCAGTATTTATAGTAAGCAATGCTGCGTGTTTTACATCACGTACTGTAGTTAAAATGGACAAAGATCAATATAAAATAAGAATACTGAGGAAAAATGTAGAGAAAATATTTCTATTTAGATGATTTTTATCCTTATACAAAGTAGTTGTTTTAAATATTTTCTGAACAGTTAAATTCACAGAAGAGGAGCAGTGCTAGATGTCCAACATCTAAACACACAGTTTACTTTGTGCATAGACCCAAAACACTAATGAAGCAAGAGGAATTTAAGTCTGCACACGGTTATATGCACCTCCTTTAAAAATTATTTTATTTTATGCATTACCTGAGACCATAAAAACAAATGAAGCATGCAAAAGATATATATATATATATATATATATATATATAAAAAGGTGTTTATGTTTCATTTTTTCAAATCTCTTCGTAAGGTTACTTGGTGCTAGGGCTGGGCAATTAGGGAAAAATACCTAATTGGGGTTTTTTTCAGACGGACATTGCGATTTGCTTTAAAGCTGATTATTGTAATTTAAGCTTCATCTCAATAATCTGTAAGCCGTGACAACAGTTCTAGCTCTTAAAATTTTCCTAGATGTATGGTGTTGTTGGGAGTAGTAAGCAACAAATGGGTGTTGTAACACAAGATTCAATCGTTTCTTCTCGTGTAATAGCATAGATCACAACACCAATATCATGTCTGCGATGCCTCACAACACCATCTCAAAAAGTCTAGCATGTTTCATTTTCTGATAGCGGAATGGTTTTGAAGCACTTCACCTCAGATGTTATTCATTATTTTTGTTAATATATATATATATATATATATATATATATATATATATATATATATATATATATATATATATATATATATATATATATATAAATATATATATATATATATATTGCAGCCTCTTGCGATTAACTAATTGTAAAATTTCAAATAGCGATTTGATATCGATTCATCGCACAGCACTACTTGGTGCACTCCAGCACCTCTTAAAACATCAAAAGTAACCATGGATATCACATCATGATATGTAAGTACATACCAATCTCGCCTTTAGAAATTTTAATAAACATTGATGGTAAAAATCCTGTTTCTGTCCTCACTTTGGTGTCTCTCTTTTCAAATTTAGACAGACAAATAAACTCCAGCTTGTGGGAGAATGTTGCTTATTTCACACCCCGATGAGTTTGTTGAAACAGCTACAGAAAGCATATGTAGGCTACATACAATGAGCTATAGTCATCTCTATGTGCAATGATATCAAGGTTTTTATGGCAACTATAATTTAAAAGAAGCTACACGACTAGGCCATAAATTATGATTCCCATATATTACATAGGTCTATTATATGATTATTGCACTTTCTATACAAAAACGATTGATGTACGATTCAAAAACCACCCACTTACATTTTATACTGTTCTTTCATAATAATGTCTATACATCATATTAATGTTTCATATAGCTTGCATATACATTAATAAAATTAAAAAACACAATTTCTCATTCAAGGGGATACACATCTGAAATTACGTTTACTAAGGGATTCTTCGTACTTTTCTCAACGTAAACATAATTTATTTGCACACTAATACAAGAAAGCATTCTGTTTGTCGACTTGAAGTGTATTTGTTGCTGACCACGGCATGGTAATAACAGACTTCACGCCCAGCCCGTTATGTATAGCTTACTATCAAGTTACGTAATTGACATTGGTGCGAATATAACTAGAACATTGAAAACGAATCGATTTACAATGGGTAACGTGTTTACTTTCAAAAGATAACGTAAGTTAGCTCGTTACGTTACCCAAATAAAGTAGTGAATGTGTCACATGACTGCGAGGAACTGTTTCAAAGCTTGATAGCAACGAGTGGTGGAAAAGATACTTCGAAAACGCGCGATTTTTATGTTATTGCTAAATGTGAAGTTAATCAGAGTTTGTTATGAAAAGTAGTTTTAAATCCCTTACCGCTTCAAATCGTCTGTCAATGTTTGTTCTCCCGTTATCTTCATTGAAAAGGATGAGCGAAACAGAGGTATGTATAAAGTATCGCTGAATACAAGAGGGAGGGACGAGGGAGGATCTTCTGAAGCGTTTCTTCTCTCTCTCAGGGGTCTGAACTAAACACACTCCCATTTATAACCAAAACACCCCCACCAACTTACAAAAATAGCCAGAACACCAACATATATATCGCACATATGATGCTTGCTGTGCGAGAACTTGTACATTTACAGAAATCCAAGATAGATCGTTATCAACTTCAAGGCATCTTACGAGGCAGACACAAAACTTTGACTTTTAAAGGACATATGCTTATGGACTTTTTTAAAGACATCTCGAAAGTACTAAATACAAAATATGCCTGTCAAAAAGCTGTTACTGTAGCGCCCTCACCGAAAATATGTTATTTAACTTAAGCACACGAAGCATGGAGCTGCTGCTGCTTCACGTCGGTCTCTGTATTGTTTTTTTAATGTATGCACTTAACTGTATACTTTCACAACATTGCAAATCATAACATGATGACACGAAAACATCATATAATATATATATATATATATATATATATATATATATATATATATATATATATATATATATATATATATATATATATATATATATAGTCCCCCTCAATTATTAGAGCCCCTGTTTATTTTTTCCCCAATTTCTGTTTAATGGAGAGAAGATTTATTTAACACATTTCTAAACATACTAGTTGTAATAACTCGTTTATAATAACTGGTTTATTTTATCTTTGCCATGATGACAGTAAATTATATTTTACCAGATATTTTTGAAGACACTTCTGTACAGCTTAAAGTGACATTTAAATGCTTAATTAGGTTAACTATGCAGGTTAGGGTAATTAGGCAAGTTATTGTATAACCATAGTTTGTTCTGTAGACTATCGAAAAAATTTAGCTTAAAGGGGCTAATAATTTTTTCCTTAAAATGGTGTTTTAAAAAATCATAACTGCTTTTATTCTAGTCGAAATAAAACAAATAAGACTTATATTGCAGAATCAATTTATGAGTGATATACAAATACATCCTGCCAAACCTTATTTATCTAAATTGAAAAAAATATATAGATAAGGTCTAGCTTTTGGAAGCAGAGGCCAGAGAGCACTGTTCATTTAATTATGAAAGTATTAGTTAAGATTGGAAAGAGATTCTTTTAGGAAGTTTTGAAAACTTAAGGGACAAAAAGACCCATTGATTATTTTTTGTTAATTTTTTTTATTTTAACGGCCAAATTTCATATAAATTAATGTAAATTGTCAGATATAAATGCTAATTTTATTGCAATTAAAAAAAGTTAATCATTATATTGAGTCCATATTACTCTCAAAAAATCAAAAGGCTATGTGAATTGTACAAGTCTGTATAATGTTCATATTGTTGATATTGTTGATATATGTTGATATTGTTCATATCTCCCCCTTTAAAAATTGTATTAAATTAATACATTGAAATAAATGGAAATTTTAAAAAGTATTTTCTTTTACAAAAAAAAGGAATGTACACATTTAGAAAAACAACTTAGTTTTGACTTTCAATTTCTAATAATTTGTAACCACTTCATCACAAGTATAACTAAAACAAACAATTGAATAGAAAATAATATTGCAAAAGGTCATCATGCTACAGGGATAGTTCACCCAAAAATGACCCCCCCCCACCTTTCTTTTTTGTTGAAAAAAAATATTTTTGAGGAATGGAATGGAAACTTGTAGGCTTAAATAGGTAAGGTAAATTATTTCCATATTTTATATATTATATTTTATTACAATATAATTTAATGCGCAGTCTGAGACCCACTTTATATCATATATCAATCAAGCAGCGAAAATCATTGATTTTAAAGAAACACATCAGTTTTTACCGGAAGCGACTGAGCTGGCCTAATGAAAATGAAAAAGTCCTGTGCGTATCCCATTGATAAAGAACTGATACTAAGGTTGTAGATACGAAAGGTTCACATTATTAAAAGACTACAGACTGACTACAAAATAGAAAACCAACAGGAAGTAATATACAGTAAATGTAATTCCCTACCGTGGCAAAAAATGCAAAGTCTCAATTAAATAACAAACAACTATTACTCATCATGTTTATGAAATTGTTTTCCTCACTTTTCCAGTATTGTGCTGAGCGGTTTTAAAAACAATAAGTTACAGTTTCAGTTGTGTTTCCACATGAGCCTGGAGTGGGGCAGCACAATTACAAACCATTTCGACCCAGAATGGGGTATATGCTTGTGTTTTTCAGCCAATGATAAACTTCCAGTGAAAGCTTAATGTGACTATTTTCTATTTAGTAAGGTTCCTTTTACAGCAGTGATGTTGTAATGTAATTACAACACATTCAGTTAAATAGGCTACTTGTCTGGCCTGAGACACATTTTAAATCTATGCAGTGAATATCACTGATTTTTAAAGAAATCAGACTGTAAACATTTTAATTTTATAATGAAAAAACTGAAAGCACTGAGGTTGGCTGGCTGCTATTAAAGGTCTGTGTGTATATACCCCATTAAATCATGCTGGCAGAGCTCTTGGTGCAGAAGCGTGCTATATTTATTTATTTGATGTTTTTTAAAAATGTAAATTTCAGAAAAAATGTGTCCCTAAAACAGAAATATGTTATCCTCAGACATATCATTGTTTACATTAAACTTGTGTTACCAAAGCACTGGCTCGCGTATTTGTACATACCAGAGAGCACTACAGTGGAAAATGAAACCATATCTGTGCTGACAGGCCTGGATCGACACGGAATGGAACGGTTATGCAAAGAGAACAGACACCCGCTTAGTGGGAAAGTGGCTTAGATTCAGTCCATATGAAAATACAGCTCAGTGGATTATTTTTATTAAAGTATTTAGTGTGACATTCTGTCAGTGAACTAATGTCCATTTTCCAAACAGCCTGAGGGATGTTTCACAATAGCAGGCAAATTCAACCACCAGCCTGAAGCAGCAAAAACCACAGAATGAATCTTCCTACGTATAGTTTTGACTAATACTTTGTTTCCTGCATACCTGCCACTTCAGAAAATTAAACAAAGATGTACACATACATGTTGGAGCTTGCCATGAAGGGGAGTGTATGCTAATATCAACCACACATTTCAGTAAGAAGACAGGGTAGCTTCACTATTCCCTAAAAAACAATAAGCATTGGTTTATAATGCATACACTTCCTACTATAGCACTAAAATACCTCAGTGATTAAAGACTTTAATGCTATATGCTGTTTACGGACTTACAGCTAGTTCTTGATTCAACAACATCATACTCAAGACAGCAGCAAATGCTCTAACACTGAACATCATGCTCTACAAAATGATCCTGAACTAACAGATTGCTAATAATTATTTCCCCTGAGCAAGCGAATATACTCTCACAACACTAGAGGTCGTCAGAACTGTTCTTAGACCTAATATATATACAGTTGAAGTCAGAATTATTAGCCCCACCCCCCACCCCCCTTTGATTTTTTTCTTTTTTAAACTATTCCCAAATTATGTTTAACAGGGCAAGGAAATTTTTACAGTATGTCTGATAATGTTTTTTTCTTCAGGACAAAGTCTTATTTGTTTTATTTCGGCTAGAATAAAAGCAGTTTTTAAAATTTTAAACACCATTTTAAGGTAAAAAAAAAGAAAAAGTATTAGCCTCTTTAAGCAATAAATATTTTTCGAGTCTACAGAACAAACCATTGTTATACAATAACTTGCCTAATTACCCTAACCTGCCTAGTTAACCTAATTAACCTAGTTAAGCCTTTAAATGTCACTTTAAGCTGTATAGAAGTGTCTTGAAAAATATCTAGTCAAATATTTTTCTGTCATCATGATAAAGATAAAATAAATCAGCTATTAGAAATGAGTTATTAAAACTATTATGTTTAGAAATGTGTTGAAAAAAATCTTCTCTCTGTTAAACAGAAATTGGCGAAAAAAATAAACAGGGAGGCTAATAATTCAGGGGGCTAATATACAGTTAAAGTCAGTATTATTAGCCCCCTGAAATACACACACACACACACACACACACACACACACACACACACACACACACACACACACACACACATTATACAGTTGAAGTCAGAATCATTTGCCCCCCTGAATTATTAGCGCCCCTGTTCCCCCCCCACCCCAATTTCTGTTTTGTTTAATAATTTGTACTCATTACTTTTAACTGTTTTTCCTAAAACTGCAAGATAAAAGAAGATTCCAGCACTATTTTTGATAAAGGAGATACTTTTATTGATAATACATCTCTCTTTATACTATAACACGTTTGAGCTTTCTTACTTCCAGGTAAATGGAGTTTTTTTCACACCATAAAATATAATCAGTCAATAAATATAAGTATTTTATATCCGAGAAAACAGCAGCTCTTCTGTTCACTTGCGTCTGTTTGTAGCGCACTGATGACCGGATTAAGATGGCGGCCGCGTTGACGTTTCCATAGTGAGTGGCGTTCTAAAAAAAGAATGTGTTCGAAAAACCGTCGATGACGTTGAGAAACCAGTGTGACCCGCATTAGGTGTCTGACCGTCGCTGACATTAGCGGTATGTAAAGATCTTTCTAAAAGTATAATTTTAGGTTATTATATTTGATTGTTTCAACATACTTTTGGTGAAGGACACAAAGTATTTATTATTTGTCTCCGTCATATCGTTTCAGATCGTCTTATATTACTTTTTTCGCTTAGACTGCATATAGCAGTGCATGTTGTAATTAGAGATGGCTAGATTGTTGACTTGTAAATTTTAGGATTTTAAATATATATATATTTTTTTTTTTTTTTTTCTAGATTTATATTCTGTTATCTTCTTTAGTAGCCTATTTATAAATGTAGAATGCCATTTGTCATGTTGTCAGGTTGGTAGACCAATACAATATTTTGTTTGTTTTTATGCTTCATTTGTATATTGCTAATTATCTTGTTTAACATTTGCAGATTGATATTTGTTATGGATCATCAGATAAATTGATCTGTTATAATTTACTTGTAGGCTATGCTGTCAGCTTTAACACACATTGAATATTACTGTACATGTATTGCCAGATAGATTGTCTGGCTGTTGTATTTCTTATTTGTAATTTATGCCGTGTGGCTTTCGATTAAGTTTGTTACCTCAGATTTAAATGAATCTGAATGTGTATTATTGATTTGTAATTTTTGCCGCGTGGCTTTCAATTAAGTTTGTTCCCTCAGATTCAAATGGCTTGGGGCACAGAACATAGATTCATAGACAAACTCTCAAGCAAATTTGCCATGCTTGGAGAAACAAAGAAATTAAAGTTAGTCTCTGTGTGTGCACAGACGGAGCATCTGCGAACCTTACCCAAGTCTGCCTCAAAGTCGTGGTCAGGTGTACAGTTTACGCAAACTCCACAGTTTAAATAAAGGGTGTATATATATATATATATATATATATATATATATATATATATATATATATATATATATATATATATATATATATATATATATATTTTACAATTATTTAGTGGTTCCTCCACATACCACTAGAAGGGAGCTCGAGTAACATTACCACACTTTGAGAACCACTGGTATTAGTTAGGCCTTGTCTGTGTTAGGTTTTTCTTTTTCAGCTAATGGAGAGCAGGCAGAAGAGGGAGACTCACAAGAGCATCGGTGGACAAAAATGCTGGAGAACAGCAGGTTTTGTTCCGTTGGTGTTGTTTTTGTCTTTTGCAGGTTGGAGTGGAGCAGAAGAAGGGGACTTACAGGGGGAACAGTAGAGATATACTATAAGACCTTGAGCTCAGGAAGCAGGTAGAACTGCTTGAACAGACTGAACAATGGAGTTAGTTTCCAAAAAAAAAAAAATGTATCAAGATTAAAGACTTGATATCTTTCTCTTTGGCAGACTGGCATTGAGCATGTGGAGAAACAGGGAAACACACCTCAGTAATGACAAGTTCATCATAATAATTTAGGTATAGCCTTACAGTTTTAAGTTGAATCAAATGAACTTTATAAAACATTTAAAAATGACATATTTAAATTCTTTTACAGAGTGTGACAGAAGGGACGGCATTCAGGTGAACAATATAAACAATGTTTATGTACAGGATGGCAGGTGAGTATGAGCAGGTGAGTATATTGATGCAGATGATAATAGTCCATGAAAATAAACTGGATATTTGACTGTGTAGGCTTGGAGACTGGAGACGATACCACAGATACCAAAGGCCAGATGAGCAACCAAGAGACACCACACTAGGAGAGACAATGGAGATCACAGGAGACGCAAATAACCGATATCTACGAATCAACACTGATGGTAAGTGAGTTCAGTTCTTTCTGTACAAGCGACGAGGCCGAACAGTGAGTGAATGTGAGTGAGTCTTTATAGTGCTGTGATAATGATGATGATGATGGTTGTCAGGTGTGTGTCTAATTAGACTCAGGTGAGGGTGCTTGTGGTGCTTTATTGGGTGAAGAAACTGGTCTAAAGCTGCGGTCACACTAGAGCAGGGATGCTCAATCCTGTTCCTGGAGATCTACCTTCCTGCAGATTTCAGTTGCAACCCTTATCAAACACACCTGCCTGTAATTATCAAGTGCTGTTCAGGTCCTAATTAATTGGTTCAGGTGTGTTTGCTCAGGGTTGGAGCTGAACTTTGTAGAAAGGTAGATCTCCAGGAACAGGGTTGAGCACCCCTGCACTAGAGTTTGTGTGTGCGAAATTCTGGGCGCTGCAAAAAGGGGCGGGTTTAAACAAGATTATTAGACATTACAAAAAGGCGAACGATTGCTCCATGTTTAAATTTCTGTCCAGAGAGGTCATGTTTTGTTCCTCGATTGGTCTCACGCAGTCAAGTGACGCGATTTCGCCGGTCGGAGTTCACCAAGTTTGAACTTTGCACTGCAGCAAACTGCGAAAACTAATGCATGACCCTGCGTTTCCGGTCTGACGCATTCGCGTGCGTATGTATGGAAGTCTATAGAGAGAAAAGTCAAGTGTGAACACAGCTTTACAGTGACAGTAAGTGATGGTTACTGTAGTATTTACTTCAGATAGACAGAGATAGATGAAATATTTTTTGTATGCTTCGTTTGTATATCGCTATCTAATTTAACATTTGCAGATTGTTATTTGTTATATTGTCAGATAAATTGATCTGTTATAATGTATTTGTATGCTATCAGCTTTAACACATTGAATATTACTGCACGTCTATTGAAGGATAGATTGTCTGGCTGTTGTATTATTTATTTGTAATTTGTGCTGTCGACCTGTTTAACATTTGTAGCTTTTGATTGTTATTTGTTTTACTGACAGTTTTACTAATTATTGTAACACATTCAACCATTCTAAGTTTATAAATTGTCATCTTGTAGAGTATTTATGTATAGCTGCGAAACATTATTTGTTAATGTAACTACAGAACCAGACTGGAGACAAGGGTTGATTAAACTTCCAAAGAATGCTATTATGATTAATAATGACTTGAAATCTTTCTATTGTATTTTGAAGATCGGCTGGACCACATGGAGAAAAAAAGGAATCACACACCTCAGCAACCACTGAGAAAAACCACCAAAAATCAGATGGACGGGTGGATAAATGGATGGATGTGCTTCCAAGATGAAGGAGTAGTGGTTGATATAGATAGCTAATTAGGCCTTGTCTGTATCAGGTTTTCCTTTTTCATGTAATGGGAGAAAGTGCAGGCAGAAGAGGAAGACTCACAAGGACCATCTGTGGACAACTATTAAAGTTTTTTTTAGTGCTGTCACACTATCACAGGAGACGTAAGTAAATGATATCTAAGAATCAACTCTGATAGTGTATAGGGAGTTTGGGAGTATAGGGAGATAGAAGAATGGTATCAAAGAATGGTATTAAGATTAATTAATGACTTGAAATCTTTCTATTGTATTTTGCAGATTGGCTTAACCACATGGAGAAAAAAAGCAATCACACACCTCAGCAATGACTGCATTGTAGGAATTTATTTTTTTTTAAATTAGTGGGACGGGTGCATCAATGGACGTCCTTCCAAGATGAAGGAGTGGTGGTTGGTATAGATAGTTAATTAGGCCTTGTCTGTGTCAGTTTTTTTCTTTTTCAGGTAATGGAGAGAGAGCAGGCAGAAGATGGAGACTCACAAGAGCATCAGTGGACATTGATTTAAAAAATGCTGGAGGACAGCAGGTAGGGCTCTGTCAGTGCTGTCTATACAGGAGGTGTGTCCCAAATTGCATTCTTATGCACTATTTTACACCATTTTGTAGTATAATAGTGTAAGCAGTGCATTCATACTGAAATATTATTGTATTCTATAAATTTTATTTTAAAAAAATCAGATGGAGGGGTGGATGAATGGAAGTCCTTTCAAGATGGAGTGGTGGTTGGTATAGATAGTAATTAGGCTTTGTCTGTGTCAGGTTTTTCTTTTTCAGGTAATGAGAGAGAGCAGGCAAAGGAAGGAGACTCATAAGGGAAACGGTGGAGATGTACTTGAAGACCTGAAGCTCAGGAAGCAGGTAGAACTGCTAAAACAGATCGAACAATGGAGTTAGCTTTCAGAAAAATGTATTAAGATTAGTTAAAGATTGGATATACTTGTCTTCGGCAGACTAGTATGGAGCATGTGGAGAAACAGGGAAACACACCTCAGTAATGACAAGTACATCATAACAATTTAGGTACAGCCTTCAATTTTTAAGTTAAACCAAATTAATTTTATAAAACATTTAAAATCTTTAATTTAAATTTTTATGAAGTAAGTGATGGTCAGGTTTTCCTTGAGATAGATGGATGGATGGATGGACGGACAGACAGATAGATGGATAGTTAGTATTAAACAAGCAGGTAAAGCTCTATTGATGTTGTTTTTGTCTTTTACAGAGTGGAGTGGAGAAACTAGGGAATCACCTCAACAATGATAAGACTTTGATGGTCAGGTATCACCTATCGATGATAGATGTCCTTTCAAGAGGAAGGGGGTGGTGGTGGGCTTGAGCCAGGCTCAGACTACAGGAGTTTTAAAGTCCTAACCAATAATGAAATCTGGTTGCAACACACATATGAGGAGAATCTTAGGTGAATTAGCCTACCTAAAATCTTAAACGTGCGCACACTACAAGATATTTAAACTGTAATACTGAAAGTATTACATCGCTTTGTAAACATTTATTATTACCATTTGATGAGTCTCCCCATACAGTTTGATATAGCGCTTGGACCCGGAAGCGGCTTTGCTTGACGTCATACTTAACAAGCGGATTAAGATTATAGTGACCGATAAAACACATCACTCTCTTCACGAAAAAATATCATTTATTATTATACTAATATTAGACCAACTGCCACTACCGACTATTATGCACTCAAAATATATTAGGTTTCTATTTGTGTAGCTGTTATTGGTGGTTTTAAATTAAACAAATGGTGACCAATAAGAAATATGTCCAAGCGAATATCTAATAATAATAATAATAATAATTGGCTTATAATCTGTCCATCATGCCGTGATGTGCTGTGCTTTCTAGTTCAAAAGCAAAAATGTTACTTGTTGCACTGTCTATATAGTGTAAAACATATAATAATTCACTGAAAGAAATGTAAAATATGGTCTGCAGTTATCTCTCTCTGAAAAAAAAAACTGTCATAGCATATAGGTTTACAGGACTAGATGCAGGCCTAATGGTTTTTTATACAGTGCATACTATTCTATCCCCTATCCTATACAAAGCCCTCAGAGAAAATATGTATTTTTAATTTCCTAAAGCACATTATAATGTTTAATCATTATGTTTTTTAGAGATAACTGCAAAGTAGTAGACCTAGCTACACATCACAATCATAAATATTCGCACATACAGAATAAGGTTAGTGGCTAATGAAAAACGATAATTTAAGCTTATTATAAATTATACATTCATTCATTCATTTTCTTTTCTTGTCGGCTTAGTACCTTTATTAATCTGGGGTTGCCACAGCGGAATGAACCGCCAACTTATCCGGCACATGTTTTTTTTACGCAGTAGATTCCCTTCCAGCTGCAACCCATCACTGGGAAACACTCATACAGTCTCATTCACACACATACAGACAATTGTAGCTTATCCAATTCACCTGAACCGCATGTCTTTAGACTGTGGGGGAAACTGGAGCACTCGGAGGAAACTCACGCAAACATGGGGCGAACATGCAAACTCCACACAGAAATGCCAACTGACCCAACCGAGGCTCAAACCAGCAACCTTCTTGCTGTGAGGCGACAGCACTACCTACTGCACCACCGCGTAACCTATTATAAATTATTTATTCATTCATTCATTTTCTTGTGGGCTTAGTCCCTTTATTAATCCAGGGTCGCCACAGCGGAATGAACCGCCAACTTATCCAGCAAGTTTTTACACAGGATGCCCTTCCAGCTGCAACCCATCTCTGGAAAATATTATAAATTAACCTATATTTATTTATTTATTAAAACTGATGTGATTCTCCCCAGCTCTTTCTTTAGGGATGCTTGGAGGCCATTGTCACAGCCACAAACGTGAATAACTCACTTTTTTATTACTTATTATTTTTATTTTTGTAATATTTGACCAATTGCTACTTTAGGAAAACAATAACCTGCGCTCAAAATAGGCTACATTACGTCTCAGTTTGCATAGCTGTTCATGCAGTTAGCCTATAAAAATAAATAAATACACACAAGGTGAGCTGCAAGTATCTGCTAAATTCTCTCTCACTCTCACACACACAAACATTCGTTTCATAAATGTGTTTAATATACAGCTAATAATAATAGACATTTTGGATGTTTCTCAGGGTATGACATGCAGGCAGTGGACTGTAGAATGAAAATATGTTGCTTGTTCATTTGCACAATATGTCTAAACAAATGTCCTATAATATTAATATTTATAACAATAATTTTAATCTCTCCGTCTTGCTGCGATGTCTGTGCTGTGACTGGCAATAACCTAGCCTATTAGATTGCTATAGTCTATTTAAAAGCGAAATTGTACCTGTTGCACATTTAATAAGCTCAGTAGTGTAGAAAAATTTTATAATTAATAATCCCTGATTTTCAGTTATCGGTCTCTGTCTAAATATTCTCATAACTTGAAAAATTATCTTATAGATTTAGCCTACTCTTTCTTAGTTTATGGGACTAGGCTATATAGTCGTAGTCCTAATAATTTTTTTAGGCTATTAAACTAATTCTATCCTCATCACAGAAAAAAAAAAAAAATTCTAAAAACAATTTAATATGTTTAATCATTTTGGATATGGAGATAACTGGCAGCGTTTTAGTACCCGGCTACACGTGTCATAAATATCTGCACACCAGTATAATAATAATGTTAAATCTGGCTAATAACAAAGGATAATTCAAGCATATTCAATAAATTTTATTTTATTTTTATTTATTTATTTATTTATTGAAAACAACACAATTCTCCCTAGCTCATGACTTTGTCAATACGGAATAGATTGGAACAGCTGTTATAAGCCCGCAAGCCTTAAAATCCTGCATGTCAAACATGTTTGCTTTGATCAGGGAGGCTCTGATTTGTGTTCAAGATCAAAAGATTTTATTTAACGATAATAACAGATAATCTGCGCTGAGAATCGAAACCAATCAAAGTCCTCAACATGATTTTATCTCTAATTTACGGAAGGTGAAAATAAATTGGGCTAAAACTTCTGTAGTCTGAGCCTGGCTTTAGATAGTCAGGTAGGTGTCTTGTCTGCGGCAGATGTTTCTTTTTCAGATAATGCACACACAACATGCAGAAGAAGGAGACTCATAAAAGCATCGGTGGACATTTATCTGAAGAACACTGGAGAGCACTGTGTTTATTGCTGGAGATCAGTCAGCATGTAGAGCTCTGTCAGTCCTGTCTTTGTCTTTTGCAGATTAGTCTGGGATATGTGGAGAAATGGGAATCACACCTCAGCAGTGACTGCAAACTGATGGTCTGGTACGGTATTTCCTGAATGGATAGATGGATGGATGAATGAATGATAAATAGATGTCCTTCCAAGAGGAAGGGGGTGGAGGTGGGCTTAGATAGTCAGATAAATGTCTTGTTTGTGGCAGGTATTTCTTGTTCAAGTAATGGACACACTGTTGGCAGAACAAGGACAATCACAAGAGCATCTGTGGGGATTCATTGAGGAACACTGGAGAACATCTTGTGCATTGCTGGAGCTCAGCAAGTATGTAGAGCTCTGTTAGTCCTGTCTTTGTCTTTTACAGACTGGAGTGCAGCATGTGGAGACAAATAGGAATTTTAGACCTCAACAATGACTGGATACTGATGATCAGGAATATCCTTCAAAAAGAGATGGATGGGTGCATGGATGGATGCCCTTTCAAGAGGAAGGGGTGGTGGTGGGCATAGATTGTTAGATAAATGCCTTGTCTGTGGCTGTAATTTACATTGTAGGTAATGGAACCACAACAGGCAGAAGAAGGAGACTCACAAGAGCATCAGTGGAGAATATCTGAAGAACACTGGAGAACACTGTTTATTGCTGGAGATCAGTCAGCATATAGAGGCTCTGTTAGTCTTGTTTTTGTCTTTTGCAGATTAGTCTGGGACATGAGAAGAAATGGGAATCACACCTCAGCAGTGACTGCAAACTGATGGTCTGGTTAGGTATTTCCAAAATGGATGAGTGAATGAATGAATAGATGTCCTTCCGAGAGGAAGAGGGTGGTGGTGGACTTAGATAGTTAGCTAGATGTCTTGTTTGTGGCAGATGTTTCTTTTTCAGATAATTCACACACAACATGCAGAAGAAGGAGACTCACAAGAGCATCGGTGGAGATTTATCTGAAGAAGACTGGAGAACACTTTGTTTATTGCTGGAGATCAGTCAGCATGTAGAGCTCTGTCACTCCTGTCTTTGTCTTTTGCAGATTAGTCTGGGACTAATGGAGAAATGGGAATCACACCTCAGCAGTGACCGCAAACTGATGGTATGGTTGGGTATTTCCTGAATGGATGGGTGGATGAATGAATAGATGTTATTCCAAGAGGAAAGGGGTGGCGGTGGGCTAAAATAGTTAGGTAGATGTCTTGTTTGTTGCAGGTGTTTCTTTTTCAAGTAATGCACACACAGCTGGCAGAAAAAGGAAACTCACAAGAGCATTGCTGGAACATAATCTTAAGAACACTGGAGAACATATTGTGCATTGCTGGAGCTTATCAAGCATGTAGAGCTCTGTTAGTCCTGTCTTTGTCTTTTACAGACTGGAGTGCAGCACATGGAGACAAATATGAATTACAGACCTCAGCAATGACTGGACAATGATGATCAGAAATATCCTTTAAAAAGAGATGGATGGCGTAGATGGATGTTCTTCCAAGAGGAAGGGGTGGTGGTGGGCATAGATTGTTAGATAGATGCCTTGTCTGTGGCTGTAATTTACATTGTAGGTAATGGAACTACAACAGGCAGAAGAAGGAGACTCACAAGAGCACCAGTGGAGAATTTCTGAAGAACACTGTTTATTGGTGGAGATCAGTCAGCATATAGAGCTTTGTTAGTATTGTTTTTGTCTTTTGCAGATTAGTCTGGGACATGAGGAGAAATGGGAATCACACCTTAGCAGTGACTGCAAACTGATGGTCTGGTTAGGTATTTCCAGAATGGATGGGTGGATGAATGAATAGATGTCCTTCCGAGAGGAAGGGGGATGAGTGGGCTTAAATAGTTAGCTAGATGTCTTGTTTGTGGCAGGTGTTTCTTGTTCAAGTTATGGACACACAGCTGGCAGAAGAAGGAAACTCACAAGAGCATCTGTGGAGATTAATTGAAGAACACTGGAGAACATATTGTGCAATGCTCAGCAAAGCTCAGCAAGCATGTAGAGCTCTGTTAGTCCTGCCTTTGTCTTTTGCAGATTAGTCTGGGGCATGTGAAGAAATAGGAATCACACCTCAGCAGTGACTGCAAACTGATGGTCTGGTTAGGTATTACCTGAATGGATGGAAGGATGGATGAATAGATGTCCTTCCAAAAGGAAGGGGAAGGTGGTGGGCTTAGATAGTTACATAGATGCTTTATTTGTGGCAGGTGTTTTTTTTTTTTCAAGTAGTGGACACATGAAGTAGAAGGAAACTCACACAAGCATTGGTGGAGATTAATCTGAAGAACACTAGAGAACATCTTGTGCATTGCTGGAGTTCATCAAGCATGTAGAGCTCTGTTAGTCCTGTCTTTGTCTTTTACAGACTGGAGTGCAGCATATGGAGAAAAATATGAATTACAGACCTCAACAATGACTGGACACTGATGATCAGGAATATCCTTCAAAGGAAGAAGGATGGGTGCATGGATGAATGTCCTTTCAAGAGAAAGGGGGTCGTGGTGGGCATAGATTGTCAGATAGATGCCTTATCTGTGGCTGTTATTTACATTGTAGGTAATGGACACAGAGCAGGTAGAAGAAGGAGACTCACAGGAGCATCGGTGAGGAATATCTAAAGAACACTGGAGAACACTTTGATTATAGCTAGAGATCATCAGCATGTAGAGCTATGTCATTCCTGGCTTTGTCTTTTGCAGATTATTCTGGGGCATGTGGAGAAATAGGAATCACACTTCAGCAGTGACTACAAACTGATGGTTTGGTTAGGTATTACCTGAATGGATGGGTGGATGAATGAATAGATGTGCTTCCAAGAGGAAGGGGAAGGTGGTGAGCTTAGATAGTTAGCTAAATGTCTTGTTTGTGGCAGGTGTTTCTTGTTCAAGTAATGGACACAGCTGACAGAAGAAGGAAACTCACAAGAGCATCTTATTATTTGTATTTGAGGAACACTGGAGAACATCCTGTGCATTGCTGTAGCTCATCAAGTATGTAGAGCTCTGTTAGTCCTGTCTTTGTCTTTTACAGACTGGAGTGCAGCATATGGAGACAAATAGGAATTTTAGACCTCAACAATGACTGGACACTGATGATCAGGA